CCTAGAGCTGGCCGCCCGGCCAAACTGAGCAATCGGGGGAGAAGGGCCTTGGTCAGGGAGGTGACCAAGAACCCAATGGTCACTCTGACAGAGCTCCAGAGTTCCTCTGTGGAGATGGGAGAACCTTCCAGGACAGCCATCGCTGCAGCACTCCACCAATCAGGCCTTTATGGTAGAGTGGCCAGATGGAAGCCACTCCTCAGTAAAAGGCACATGACAGCCCGCTTGGAGTTTGCCAAAAGGCACCTAAAGACTCACAGACCATGAGAAACAAGATTCTCTGGTCTGATGAAACCAAATTGAACTCTTTGGCCTGAATGTCTGGAGGAAACCTGGCACTATCCCTACGGTGAAGCATGGTGGTGGCAGCATCATGCCGTGGTGGATGTTATTCAGCGGCAGGGACTGGGAGACTAGTCAGGATGGAGGGAAGGATGAACGGAGCAAAGTACAGCGAGATCCTTGATGAAAACCTGCTCCAGAGCGCTCAGGACCTCAGACTGGGACGAAGGTTCACCTTCCAACAGGACAACAACCCTAAGCACACAGCCAAGACAACGCAGGAGTGGCTTCGGGACATGTCTCTGAATGTCCTTGAGTGGCCCAGCCAGAGCCCGGACTTGAACCCGATCGAACATTCTCTGGAGAGACCTGAAAATAGCTGTGCAGCGACGCTCCCCATCCAACCTGAAAGAGCTTGAAAGGATCTGCAGAGAAGAATGGGAGAAAATCCCCAAATACAGGTGTGCCAAGCTTGCAGTTTCATACTCAAGAAGACTCGAGGCTGTAATCGCTGCCAAAGGTGCTTCAACAAAGTACTGAGTAAAGGGTCTGAATACTTATGTAAATGTGATATTTCATTTTATTTTATTTTATACATTTGCAAAAATAAATTAAAAACTGTTTTTGCTTTGTCATTATGGGGTATTGTGTGTAGATTGATGAGGGGAAAAACAATGTAATCCCTTTTAGAATAAGGCTGTAACGTAACAAAATGTGGAAAAAGTCAAGTGGTCTGAATACTTTCCAAATGGACTGTAACTACAGTCTCCAAACCAACGTGGAATTCCATAAGTTCTACCTGACCACATTTCCATCTACAGTGCCTTCAGAAAGTATTCACACCCCTTGACCTTTTCCACATTTTGTTGCGTTACAGCCTGAACTTAAAATTGATTAAATTGACATTTTGTGTCACTGGCCTACACACAATACTCCATATTGTCAAAGTGGAATTATGTTTTTAGAAATGTTTACAAATTAATTAAAAATGAAAAGCTGAAATGTCTTGAGTCAATAAGTATGCAACCCCTTTGTTTTGGCAAGCCTAAATACGTTCAGGAATAAATGTGCTTAACAAGTCACATAATAAGTTGCATGCACTCACTCTGTGAGCACTAATAGTGTTTAACATTGTTTTTTAATGACTACCTCATCTCTGTAACCCACACATACAATTATCTGCAAGGTCCCTCAGTTGAGTAGTGAATTTCAAACACAGATTCAACCACAAAGACAATGGAGGTGTTCCAATGCCTCGCAAAGAAGGGCACCTTTTGCTAGATTGGTACAAAATAAAAAAGCAGACATTGAATATCCATTTGAGCATGATGAAGTTATTAATTACACTTTGGATGGTGTATCAATACACCCAGTCACTACAACGATACAGGCATCCTTCGTAACTCAGTAGCCGGAGAGGAAGGATACCGCTCAGGGATTTCACCGAGGCCAATGGTGACTTTAAAACAGTTACAGAGTTTAATGGCTGTCCTGAATACAAAGCGTTATGTTTGGGCCAAATCCAACACAGCACATCACTCTTCATATGTTCAAGCATGGTGGTGGCTGTATCATGTTATGGGTCTGCTTTCCAACAGACACTGGGAGACAAATTCACATTTTAGCAGGACAATAACGTAAAACACAAGGCCAAATATACACTGGAGTTGCTTACCAAGACGACATTGAATGTTCCTGAGTGGCCTAGTTACAGTTTTCACTTAAATCGGATTGAAAATCTATGGCAAGACTTGAAAATGGCTGTCTAGCAACAACCACCTTTTACATTTACATTTTAGTCATTTAGCAGACGCTCTTATCCAGAGCGACTTACAGGAGCAATTAGGGTTAAGTGCCTTGCTCAAGGGCACCGACAAATGTTTCACCTGGTTGGCTTGGGGAGTCGAACCAGCAACCTTTCGGATACTGGCCCAACACTCTTAACCGCTTGAAGAATTAAAAATAATAATAATTTGCAAATATTGTACATTCCAGGTGTGCAAAGCTCTTAGAGACACCTAGACAGACTCACAGCTGTAATCGCTGGCCAAAGGTGATTCTAACATTCTAACGTGTGTGTGTTTCATGTTTGAAGTTTTATTGTTACTTGCACGAGTACAGTGAAATGCTTAACTTGCAAGCATTTGTGTATATGTATGTACAGTGTATGTATGTACAGTGTGTGTGTGTGTGTGTGTGAGTCCTGAGTGCTAGTATGGACAGTAACAGACAACCTCATCCAGTGGTGTAGTGGTGCCTGGAGAAGTGGTTTTACTCTCATTTTGGCCCGCTCGGCAAAGGAAAGGCACCCTGTGTGAAAAATCCTATGAGAAACACTCAGAATTACCTACAAAAAACACTCTGAATTACCAAAAAAACACACTCTGAATTACCAAAAAAACCCACTCTGAATTACCTAAGAAAACACTCTGAATTACCTAAGAAAACACTCTGAATTACCAAAAAAACACACTCTGAATTACCAAAAAAACCCACTCTGAATTACCTAAGAAAACACTCTGAATTACCTAAGAAAACACTCTGAATTACCTAAAATGATGAATCCCATATTGGTCTTTCACAGTCAAGCCAACCCCAGCTGTACTGTGCAGTAGGCTAATCGTAGTCCTACTATTGAAACAGATAAACTGAATCAGAAATTCACATTTTTTTCAGGTTTTTGTCTCAAGGTCACACATTTTATTTTTAAACAGAAAAACAACAACATTTATGTTCTAAGTCCATAACAATACTTAAACCACATCAGGAGACTACTTTTGAGGTCTGGGAAAAATCAAAGAATTTTTTATTTTTGAGAGTAGTTATCCTTTAATTCAAGTGTGCCTGCACCTAGCACTGTTGTTTGATTAGCATTGTTTCTGTAGCACATGAGATGGAGTTTGCAAAAGCTAGTTAACATTATAATAGAGAAGGTTTTTGGGAAAGCCTTTCCATCTACCAGAAGACGGTTAGGTCTATCATTAGCCATTTACTTCATAGTATGAGGCATGTCTTACCTTGCTTCAAAACGTGGAGGCGATTATTTTGATAAAGACTTACTCATTATGTGTTCTCCTGTTCTATTGGTTTTCTTTCAACTGTTTTTCAATGTCTAGCAGCCAAAGGCATTATCCTAATCATATTAGCAACCCACGATAGTTGTTGCATCTTTAAATCCCCCCTCTTTCTAAAGGACATTTCCATCTCTGTCCATGAAACAGCTTGCATGTGTTTTCCCGCAAATTGCATTTTGGAACATTCACGTGTAGGCCTACTGCCTTGTGTACATTGCAGTGCCTAGAATGTGAAGAAATAATAGTTGATCAACATTTTAAGCTAAACATTCCGATCTGTTGCATCAGTCCTAAATTGATACTACACACTACACTACTTTGATACCTATCAATGGGGATTGAGAAGTGAATATATGCAATGCCCACTGAAAAATAAGTGGGTATACGGCGTATATCTGCGTACACCCTTCACTACACCACTGACCTCATCAATACAGACCAAACAGCAGCGGTAAATCAATACCTGGACTGATGACACCTGCTACCGGGGCTGAGGTTGTAGATTTCGATCAACAAGTCGCCGGGCCGTTAATAGTTAACGCAAACCAGCTGTAATTAAAAATAGAATAGCCCAACTGAACCGTTTATAGGCTAGGTCCGATAATACGTTTAAAAGCATTAGGTATCTACACAATATCTACCAACTCTGAAAGGGTAAATCTGGTCATCAGAATCTCTGTCTGTTATGAAACGATCCTAATGATGCACTCGTTTTACGTTTTAGTCATTTAGCAGACGGTCTTATCCAGAGTGAGTGGGAATCGAACCGAGAGAGAGAGAGAGAGAGAGAGAGAGAGAGAGAGAGAGAGAGAGAGAGAGAGAGAGAGAGAGAGAGAGAGAGAGAGAGAGAGAGAGAGAGAGAGAGAGAGCATCCTAACAAGCATACGCACATCTGGCCGCGCGGCACCACGCACGTCCTCTCGAACTGACTTTTCCGCGTGCGTCAGCTGCATTTATTTACTGTTGAAGGATTACAACGTGTCCCTGCCTTTATCTCTCGTAGATGGAGTTTAAAGAATGCGTGCTCACCTCGGGTCCCGTTAGTGTCCCGTTCCAGACTCGTGCTGTCGCTGTAAAAAAAATGACGATGGAATGGAGAGGGGCGCAATCCAGGCTTCCATCCAGTGCTGCGGCCGCGGCACACTGCTCTCGCGATAGCATGCCCGTCTTTCCGATCTCGCTCACAGAAAGTGACGTCACTGTGGGACTGAACGGCTCCCGGCCGCCCTCTCCTGGTCAATGAACTGAACTGCCTCTGTGATACTGTACCAATGACGTCATGACGAAACTATACCTGAATTCTAATGTGTTGAGGGATATGATCAACTGAAAATAAGCAGAGCTCAGTAGCCAGGATTTCTGTACACGGAAAGGTTTATTGGTAAATGCAGTTTAATCCAGGCTACATTTTCAACTGTCAAGGTTATTGTCTTATTATCTTCATCACTTTCTTTTTTCACCGTCATCATCACCATCGCCTTCATCATCACCATCGCCTTCATCATCACCATCGCCTTCATCATCACCATCGCCTTCATCATCACCATCACCTTCTGTCTCTTCTCTCTTCAGCCACGTAGGTTTCATGCAAATAAATACATATCAACATATGTGTGTGGGTATGGCAGGGTTGTGTGTGTGTGTCTACAGATCGCCCGTCTCTCCGTCGAAGGGCAGCATGTTGTCCAGCTCCATGTGGATGTGTGAGTTGTCCTCCAGGTTACACACCCAGCCGATGGGGGTGCGGTTGAACGAGGGGCGGGACCTAATGTCCCCCTGCAGGGAGTGGAGGGACTCCGCCTCCACTGGGGCGAATGAGATCTCAGGAGGCTCGAAGGTCAAGTGGCCTCCCGCGTTCTCGGAGCCGCCATAGGGCAGGGCCGTCCTGTCAATCAAATATTACTATCATTATGTACAGTATACATGGTAGTTACATCAGCAGATTGAAGGCCATGTCATAGCCGACAACACTATAGACTAGGTTTTACCTATTGAAGCTCTTGAACTTGGGCATGTCGTGGGGGGTATGTGGTCCAGCCATGCGGTGGTGCATGGTAGAGGTCAGGGACTCGTCTCCCCTCATGGCCCGTTCCCATGGCGACACGTAGGTACGCACATACTGCTGCCTCCTCTTTTCTTTCTCTGCTTCCTTGTCCTCCTCTAGATAAACACAACGCCATCGCACACGTGTTGATATCAGACCAGCCGTTCAACACATATGAATGTCAAATACTTTCACATGCTTGAGGTGTGCTTGATTTAGCTTGGGACAATTGAACTAATGGAATGTAAAAGTGCTTAGTTCTACCGAGCTCAGGTTCCTGAGTGAGTGGTGGGGCTGTCGTCTCACACCCCAGGGATGGAACCAGCTGCTGGAGTTTCTGCTAGATGAGGCAGGACACAAAGTCAGATAAGCACACACACACACACACACACACACACACACACATACACACACACACACACACACACACTCACACACACTGGTACACTTAAACACTCAGCTCTCTGGGGCTCCCTTGGCATTAGGCCTTCACACACACACACACACACACACACACACACACACACACACACACACACACACACACACACACACACACACATACACGCACACACACACATACACGCACACACACACACACACATACACGCACACACACACATACACGCACACACACACACACATACACACACACACAGACACACAAAGCCAGATCAGTGTGCAAAGACACTCACTGACAAACAGACCTCCCCTCCCCCTCTGTCTCCCTGTCCTCACCATATTCTCGTTGGTGATGATGAAGCGCTCCACTCTCTGTTGCCTCATCCTGAACATCTTGGATCCCTTGTTGGTCAACAGAGACAGTTCCTCCAGCATGGTGTCTTTAGGAGTCTTGATCTTTGTGCCCAGATCAAACTCTGATGCCTCAGGATCCAACTCTTCGTCTGGAGAAGGGGGAAACACAATGTCAGGCATTGGATGAGATGAAATGTCATTTAAATATCCATGAATTCATTGAATCCAATGCTAAGTTTCCACAGCACCACAGTTCCCACTTTACTATATAAAGCGCTTTGAGCACTGGAAACGCGCTATATTTATCCAATCAATTAACAATCAATATTATCTTCCCAGTCCGATATCAATCCTTACCCATTTACCCCCCATCCTCTAGTCTAAACTCCAACTCCTAGGCTCTGTAGATCTGAAAATGTAGATAGGTGCAAAAAATATGGCAAAAATTCCAACTAACCTATCTGAGAGTAAGGTGGAAATATTACCATTATACATCCTCCTTCTTTCTCTCTCTCTCTCTCTCTCTCTCTCTCTCTCTCCTCTCTCTCTCTCTCTCTCTCTCTCTCTCTCTCTCTCTCTCCTAACCACTCTCTCTTTCTCTCTCTCGCTCTGTTTCTCTCTCTCCCTCCAAACCTCTCTCTGTCTCTCTCTCTGTCTCTCTCCCTCCAAACCTCTCTATTTCTCTCTGTCTCTCTCTCCCTCCAAATCTCTCTCTCTCTTTCTCTCTCTCTCTGTCTCTCTCTCGCTCTCTCTCCCTCTCTAATAGAAGTGTCAAATGGGTTTTGCAGACGGCTGGCTGCTCTCCTCTCGTCCCCATAAAACATTCTCTTCAACATCCGCTAGACACACTCTGATATCACTCATAACACCTGGAGCCCAGCCACATCACACACACACACACACACACACACACACACACACACACACACACAGCTTTAAAGCTGGGAGCTGGCAAAGCAATCCTGTGCTGAGAGGATTGTGTGTGTGTGTGTGTGTGTGTGTGTGAAGTGCTCCACTCTCCGTGCCCCCCAACTCCCCGTCTCAGTCTCCAGTATCTATGCTGCAATAGTCTATGTGCCGGAGGGCTAGGGTCAGTCTGTCCAATCTGGTGTAATTCTCCTTTCTTATCTGATGTCCTGTGTGATTTTAAGTATGATCCCTCTAATTCTCCCATCTCGCTCTTGCTCTCCCCTCCCGGAGCACCTGAGCCCTAGGACCATGCCTCAGGACTACCTGGCCTGACGACTGCTGTCTGTCCCCGTCCCCAGTCCACCTGGTCGTGCTGCTGATCCAGTTTCTGCTGTTCTGCCTGCTGCCCTCTCTGTCCCCCCCCCCCCCCCCTCCTCTTCTCTCTCCTCTCTCTCTCTCTCTCTCTCTCTCTCTCTCTCTCTCTCTCTCTCTCTCTCTCTCTCCCCCCTCTCTCTCTCGCTCTCTCTCTCTCTCTCTCTCTCCCCCCCTCTCTCTCTCTCCCTCCCCCCCTCTCTCTCTCTCTCTGTCTACCGCACCTGCTGTCTCGACCTGCTTTCTCAGCTATGAAAAGCCAGCTGACATTTATTCCTGGGGTACTGACCTGCGGCACCCTCTACAACCACTGTGATTATTAGTTGACCCTGCTGGTCATCTGTGAACGTTTGAACATCTTGAAGAACGATCTGACAATGGCTATGTACTCTTATAATCTCCACCAGCACAGCCAGAAGAGGACTGGCCACCCCTCAGAGCCTGGTTCCTCTCTAGGTTTCTTCCAATGTTCCTGCCTTTCTAGGGAGCTTTTCCTAGCCACCTTGCTTCTACATCTGCATTGCTTGCGCTCTGGTGTTTTAGGCTGGGTTTCTGTATAAGCACTTCGTGACATCAGCTTTATAAAAATTTTTGATTGATTGTGTGTGTGTGTGTGTGTGTGTATACATCATACCATCCTGGGTGATGTTGGTCAGATCAGTAATGATCTTGTTGACCTTCTTCCTCTTGTTAGGGGGGGCGGGAATTGAGAGAGGCATGCCTGCAGCCTGCACCAATCAGAAAGACACAGTTAGAATTAACAGCCAATCACAGACTGTCGATTAGACGGATGATGATGATGATGACGCTGATGATGGTGGGTCATTTCCCCTCCTGTGTCACAACTAAAGACTGGGTGGTTGGTCACTTCTGTCCATCTGTTTGCTGGATCACAACACCATTAGATTTAAGGTGGGGTTCCAGGGAGCCATTACTCTGTAGCTCTGGGCCTGTGGGTTTATCTTCCATACTGTAGTTGATGTAATTGATTGAATCTGCTGTAATTGAAGCTCCTGCTGGAATCCAACACCCTGCCGCTATTATTACTACGTGTTCCACAGCAGCTCTGCTGAGTGTCACTGTCACCACTCACACACACACACATCACATAGACACTGACACACACCACGTACGCATACACACACTCACATACACCTTGATCGCACCAGGGTCCCCTGGGTAGACATAGGGAGAGGGGGAAGAATGCAGGGCTTATGGAGCTCCTGATGGGTTAGCGTTGGGAAAAGTCCCCCAACTTCAGGATGACGTGAGGCTGACGGCCTGAGGGTCTGAGGGTCCCGTTACCCCCAGCACAAGGGCTCCTATCCCCCTCACTATTCCTGTTTTAGCTGCAGATACATCTCCCTGGAGGACAGCTGACAGGGAACTTCATCAGTCAGCACATTCCCAAACACACACGTCCCGATTCCCGAAACACTCAGCTCATCCTCTAGAACTCCCACCATAATCTCTTATGAGACGTTCACGTGCTGTCGGAGTTATCGGAAGTTTGGAGTTCTGACTGGGACGTTTTTTTCGATTGACCCTCCAAGTGGGAAACTCAGAGAAAATATTGTTACCCGAGTTGCCGAGTCGTGACATTCCACCATTGACCTTTCACCTTTTCAACCAAAAGATGATGACAAATGGAATGACCATATTATAATTTATAATAAATAATTAACCTTGGTTTATATATTTGTATGAAAATGTCTGCTGAAGGTTCTAAGAATGTTTTACTCTGGTTCCTTGAAAGTTTTCCAGGGAGGTTTTATTAACGCTCTGAGAACAGAACGTTTAAATCTTCTTTAAAACGTTCACTGTATGTTTCAATAACACCTTTAATGACACTGCTAGCTTATTTGGGGAAAATATTTTTTTAAACTCCAAGCACAGATAAGACACATGGGGAAAAAATCCTTAGGCATTAATCATGCAAACACATTTCTTTTTTGTTATGACAAGGCATCAGTGGAATTTGAACCTATGAACTTCTGGTCTCTATCCATGGAATTAGTCCACTTCGCCACCAGGGCTGCATTTACACAGGCAGCTCAATTCTGATCTTTTTCCCAATTATTGACAAAAGTGCTGATCTGATTGGTCAAAAGACCAATTAGTGAAAAAACTATGAGAATTAGGCAGCCTGTATAAACGCACCCCAGGATGGAGATAGCAAGCCATGTGTTTTTAACTCATACAAAGCTGTTCATTTTAGTCTATTCAAACAGACCCCATTTCAAAGGAAACAAGCACTCATTAAGACCAGGTGTGGCCAATTAGTGGGCGTGGCCAACACCTGAACACACTTAACAAGATAGAAGAAGAGTGAGTTTTGTTGATACTGAGAACAGAATGTATATGTTTTTAAATAACATTCTCTGAACATTACTAAAGTTTTCTAGTGGTTTTTAATTGAACGTTTTCTTAATGTTCTCGGAACAATTTGAGAACATTACTTTAATAGAACAATGAGGAAATCGGTAGGAAACGCTACGCTGAAGAACTGAAGTTCCCACAGAAGAAAGTTGTTTTTTAACATTCTCTGAACTATTTGAGGACATTCCCAATGTCAAACCAGTTGAAGAACATTCCTGGAACATTAGCAAAATTTAAATTAAATGTAACCATGTTTGAACTTTTAAGAAATGTTCTGTTAAAGTAATGAAATACCAAGAAAATACTGTTTTCTTTTGTCAAGTTCCTTAAATGTGCTGAGAATGTTCCAAAGCCAAGCAACTGTCCTGCACCATTCCCACAAAGTTGTGGAAAGGTTGTATGCAAAATAACTATAGGACAACCACGCTCTCACCAAGTTCTAAGAAACATATGGTTCTCAGAACATTATGTACTCGCTAGGTAAATTCTTATTGGTTGAAGAATTGTTCTAACTTCAGAAGCACTTGAACTCAATCATGTCGGACTTACGACTCCAAGCACGTGAATGCCCAATCATACCACTGACATTCCAAACCCACTCCAGCCTGATGGACATGGAATGTGAATGGTTTGTACCCGATGAGTGTTGAAGAGTATAAATTGCAAAATCTATGCAGCTACTAGCCAATATTTATAAAGTGATGTGAGTTGATACCATTAATATATTCATTAATTTATGCTGTGATACATATGACATGCTGCCGTACGTGGAGGACACATGATATACACTGACAAGGACATTTCCGCCTCAAACAGCACAGCAAAGCCCAGCCTAGTGCAATGCAGGCCTTGCATGGCATAAACCCATGTTGAATCAAATCTAAAACCACTATATCGCTCAATTCACCCCTTTAACGTGAGCTTGTCCATACCTGGCTGACATTTAGACCTACATCAGTCCATTCTTATCACCACCAGATAACCCATAAGTCTGGGTGAGATAATAGACGCCATTTAGCAAAAGCTTTTATCCAAAGCGACTTACAGGCATGTGTGCATACATTTTATGTACAGCTGGTCCTAGGAATTGAACCCACTACGAAGGCGTTACAAGCATCATGCTCTACCAACTGAGCTACAAAGGACCAGGGATTGTGTGGGCAGTGATGTCACAAACTCAGCCTTACCTCAGTAGAATCCTCAGGAATTAGAGAAGACGAAAATAATGTTCCAGGAGGAGAGGAAGAGTTGAAAGTATTCCAGAAAGCGTCCCAGTGCCTACCCTCATGTACACCCGAGAGAGAGTGTGAAAACCTATCACAGTAAGGAGCTGGGCTATGGAGGCCTGGGTGGGCGGGAGCTGCTTAAGGGTCTACCAGGAGACTGATATTATCTCTCAGATGCTCCTGAGGTCTATGTATAGACCAGTATATTGGGGGGGGGGCAGAGAGATGTTGAAGGGGGTAGTGGGAAGAGGGAGGGAGGACGGAATAGAGGATAGAGAAAGATAATCACTTACCCCCCTTCCCTTCGCTCCCCGAGAAGTGTGTTTCTCACCATGGTGAAGTGTCCAGTCTACCCTTCAGGTCCAGTCTACCCTTCAGACAGACTTTATACCTTTAGAATAAACAGCTGGTGTCCCATATCACTCAGATCTGTTACCCAACTGACCACAGAGAGAGAGAGAGAGAGAGAGAGAGAGAGAGAGAGAGAGAGAGAGAGAGACTGTATATATACATAATATGACATTTTAAATTTCTTTTTTCTTTTGAAACTTCTGAGTGTAATGTTTACTGTTAATATTGATTGTTTATTTCACTTTTGTTTACTATCTACTTCACTTGCTTTGGCAATGTTAACATACGTTTCCCATGCCAACAAAGCCCTTAAATTGAAATTGAATTGAAATTGAATTGAGAGCGAAGAGAGAGAGCATACTGAAAGAGAGGGGAGATAGAGAGCGAGACAATCAGATATGGGTAGAGAGAGAGAAAGAGAGAGGGACAGAGTGAGACAGAGCTAGTGTCTAAGCATCAGTAGATAATTTACTACGCATCCGACTTTAACGACCTACCTCAAAGCTAACCCTCAACCCTCAACCCTGACCTTTGACCCCTGAACCATAAACCTAGCACCAACTCTAGACCTGACCCTGATCTATCAGAATTGATGGCATAACTGAAGACCTATGAGTGCAGGGACTGGATAGTAGCCCCATGATGGTGGTCAGGTAGTGTATGTGTTGGGGGGGTAGTAGTTACTCTGATGTCTTTACTCTGATCACATTGTAAAAATGAGTCGGTGTTTAGAGTCCAGCACTCAGCACTCAACCAGATGACTGGAGATCAACAGGACTTAAAATAGGAGAGGCCCTCCTGGTAGTTTGTGTGTGTGTGTGTGTGTGTGTGTGTGTGTGTGTGTGTGTGTGTGTGTGTGTGTGTGTGTGTGTGTGCGAAGGCCTAACGCCAAGAGAGCAAAAGGCCCCTGACAGCTGAGTGCAGTACCAGTGATCACCAGTAGGAGTGTAGCCATTCTCGTGAGAAAGATTAGCATTAGTGTTTTCTCCTCAGACACAACATACTTGACACTGTTTGGGGTTATTCATTCCAGTCTTTCCACCACTCACCTGAGTCATGCCACGGCAGCCATTTTGCTTTGCAGCAGAAGAACCCTGACCACAACCCTCACCTCCCCCTGGGCTCGGATGAGGCTAAAGTTTGCGGCTAAAGATAGCGATCCAGCATGGGTCGTAGGTCAGAGGGTAGGTAGGGTTTCACAGCTCTGGGATGGTATGTGACTGACAGAACATGATGTGGGAATTTAGAACACAGTTTACAGGAACTGCTGCAAAACTGTCTTCAACATAGACATGATAATAAAACATCCATGAAGGCAGTTAGCTACCTTCCCCCAGTGAAGTGGTTTGTATGATAATATATATATATATATTTATCCCTTACAGAAAAAAATACGAATTATTTCACACGTGGAAAATCACATGATTTCACATTAAATTTCACGTTTTTTTTTCACATGAAAACGTGTTTTTGGAACATTTCACATATGATCACATTCTCACGTGTAGTTTCATGTTATCACGGTGCTTTGCATGTTGTCACATGTTATCACATTTAACTTCACATAAGAGCATGAGTGATCAAATGAAAACATGTGTTTTTGGAACACTTCACGTGTTCACATGTGAAACTCGTGGTTTTTCGTAAGGGATCCATCATAACCCTATGATGAGATTGAGACTGAGCTAATAACTAAGCAGCACCGCCACCTTGTGGACAACGGTAGGAACTGTCCCAGATGATGATTATAATATAATTCCTACCCACCTCATCTCTCTTACCCAGTCCAATCGGAGGTTGCATGATGTTGGTGACATAGGCAGAGACAGACAGACAGACAGACAGACAGCTGGAGAGTTTCACATCTGTTTTTATTTCTCTGAAATACAGAACAACAACTGAACAGCTCAGCTCTCACATCAACAATCAGACAAAACCTCTCTGTTACCCCCTCCCCCCCCCCTCCCTCCCTCCCTCCCTCCCTCCCTCCCTCTACCACTCCACTCCCTTTCTCATCACAATAAGGGTGCACTTTATGACGTGGAAAAGTCAAAGATTTTTTTTTAAAATAAACCCATCCTGACACAGAGCGTACTACTGTGCAATACTCTGACACATTTATATGAAGCAACAAAAAAAAAACAGTCTATTTCATAATTTTCATAATAATAATGAAGTCACAATAATCATGAAAAAAATCCTATGAAAAGGAAGAGGTCAGCACTGCATGCTGGTGGCTTCATAGATGAGTACAGTATTGTTCTCATATACAGTCAGATCTTTGGTTCAGATTCAGGCCTTCATGTGACCAACTGGATTTTTAATCTGGGTCGCCTGCACTCCACAAGACTGTGTTAGGCTGCTGAGCTAAAGTCACAATGGAAGCACACAGCAGGCATGTAATCCATCCTTTTACAGGTCAGCGTTAGCTTACAGTTTGTCTCTTAGGAAGGACGTTGTACCTTCTCTCCTCTCATCCATCTCTCCTCTTCCTCTATCTTTCCTCTTCCTCTCCTTCCACAGGCTTGTCTTTAGCACATCCTCACGTTTATCTGTTTATCAACTTCATTCTTTATTTTCACCTTTATTCTGTAGTTCCCAACGCATTCCATTTTGTTTTATTAAACTACAAGTCCCATTTTCTCTCCCTATCCATGTCTCTCGCTCTCTTTGTCTGACATTTTAGATAACTCTTTTAGTTTCTGATTGTCATGAAATACTTATTTTACGTTCAAATTCATATATTCATACATATCAACAATATTCTATGTCAACTATACATCAAATACTATTTTTATGAGGCGAAGCAGAGGAGGTCAAATTATCAGTAGAAGGAAAAGTGATGACATGGCTGGTGTGAACCAAGAGCTACAATGGTGTCCAAACAAGAAGTAAATAAAAGAAAGAATGTGATCAAGAAAACCCCAAACCAAAGACCTTTCAAAATATTTAAACAGGTGGGTAGTGGATAGACTTCTGATTTTTTGATTCTTAGGTAAATGATGCAATGCACAATACTAACATCCCTTTTGGCCTGACAAAGACCAATACTAACATCCCTTTTGGCCTGACAAAGACCAATACTAACATCCCTTTTGGCCTGACAAAGACCAATACTAACATCCCTTTTGGCCTGACAAAGACCAATACTAACATCCCTTTTGGCCTGACAAAGACCAATACTAACATCCCTTTTGGCCTGACAAAGACCAATACTAACATCCCTTTTGGCCTGACAAAGACCAATACTAACATCCCTTTTGGCCTGACAAAGACCAATACTAACATCCCTTTTGGCCTGACAAAGACCAATACTTTGCAATAAACCACACAGAACTAAGTGTGGGACTATCCCAGCTAGCACATAACGTGAGAGCATAGTTGTCCTATGGTTATTTTGCATACAACCTTCCCACAACGTTCTGGGAATGGTGCAGGATAGTTACTTCGCTTTGGAACATTCCGAGCAGATTTAAGGAACTTGACGAAATAACGTATTTTCTTGGTATTTTGTTACTTTAACAAAACGTTTTCTAAATGTTCAAACATAGTTACATTTAATTACACTTTTGGTAATGTTCTAGGAACGTTCTCCAACTGGTTTGACATTGGGAATGTTTTCAAATAGTTCAGAGAACATTTAGTAACAACGTTCTTCTGTGGGAATTTCAATACTTTAGAATAATGTTTCCTCATGGTTCTATTTAAAGTAATGTTTTCAGAACATTCAGAGAATGTTAAGAAACAATGTTCTTCAATGGGAATTTCAGTACTTCAGCATAAAGTTGTCTGAAGGTTTGCTCATGGTTCTGTTTAAAGTAATGTTCTCAGAACATTAAGAAAACGTTTGATAAAAACCACAAGAAAACAATAGTAACGTTCAAAGAACGTTCTCAGAATGTTATGTTAAAACATATACATTCCGTTCTCAGCGTCAACAAAACTCTCTCTCTCCTCAGGTGTGTTAGCCGTGCCCAATAATTGTCCACACTTTAATGAATGTTTGTTTTCTTTGAAATGGGGTCTGTTTGTGTAGAGTGCTAGCTCTATCCTGGTGGCGCAGTAGACTAGTTCCATGGATAGAGAACAGAATATCATAGGTTTGAATCTCATGTACGCCGTGCCACAATAAAAAATATTGCATGATTAATGCCTGAGCAAATACATTTCCATTTGTCCTATCTGTGCTTGGAGTTCAAAACAGTTAACCCAGAATAAGCTAGCAGTGTTATTGAAAGTCTTAATGAAACATTCAGTGAACATTTTAAGGAAGTTATTCCAAAACCTCCAAATAACCTTTACATTTTGTTCAAAACATTCACAACATTTAGATAATGTCCTCAAAACGTTATTTAATTACCTTCAAATAACCCATAATTTCTGTTCTAAGAATGTTAATAAAACCTCCTAGGAAAACTTTCAGGGAACCATAGTAAAACGTTCTCAGAACCTCCCTGCAACCTAACAATTAACCTTCCCAGAACAGGTGAAATGTTCACTTCTGTTATCAGAATGTTTAAAAAACATTTCGTTTTACCGGTCAGGGTAACTTATGGCTTCGCTCCCAGAACCAATGGTAAACCAAAAACATACATTCCCACAACTTCCAAGGAACCAAATTTGCTAGCTGGGATTTCTCCAGAGCCAGTCTATAGTGTGTTGTCTTAGCTCATGGTGGATCCGGGGCGCCAGACGCTAGGTTGCAGACCCAGGTTAGAGGTGCTGAATCTGGGGCGAGGCACTCTGGAGGGCTGGGTGGAGGCTGGGCGAGGTGGGGTGTGGGCCAGAGGGCTCAGATCAGGGGCACTCTTAAACTGACTGTTGCCTTGTTGGGGGGCGTGGGGCTGGGAGGGGTAGGGGTGAGGGTTAGGGACATGGGCAGAAGAGAAGCTAGGGAGCTGCGGGAGTGGGGCGGTGGGCGCTGGAGGAGGAGGGACCCACTGGGGCTGAGGCTGGTAGGGGGGGGTAGTGGGGAATTGGTAGCAGGAAGTGGCTGTTGGCGGAAGGGAAATGACATCAGACCTCCACATCGGTTCTCCTAATGTGGTCGCTGACCGTGGGATGATGACAGTAGGGACGGGGCCTGTGGGAGGTGGCGTGGAGAAGCGCTTGACCTCATACACACACGGCATCTTGTTTTGCCCCTGGGGAGTCCCACCCCCATAGCTGAAGAGGGAGGAGTTTAGCTGGTAGGGCTGGTGACTCATGAAGTCCAGAGCCTTGATGCCTTGAGCCTTCTGACCCCCAGGGGCGGCTTTATGCCCCGCTGAAACCCCACCCTGTCCTGCTACCCCCACCCTCTGGCGCTGAGCCTGGGGAGGGCAGGAGGGAGAGAGGAGGGGGTTGTAGTTGATTGGAGGGGGGGCTCTGCAGCTGGAGGAGTATTTGAATTGAGAGGGGAGGGAGGGTGTGGGAGAGGGCTGGCGGGGGTGGTTGGGACAGGGTTGGGGTGAGGAGGGGGTCTCCACCACATAGCGATCCATCCTGCTCTGCCTACGGGCGAACAGCTGACCCCCCTTCCCTGCTAGCTGGGGTACCTGTGGAGGAGGCTGGGGTTTAGGGGCCACAGGAGGGGGCTTGGAGCCTCTCTGGGCCTGCATGAAGTTACAGGCCTCGGCCCCCAGCTTCAACCAGTCCTCTTCAGGGCCTGACTCACCTCCAGCCTCCCAACTAACTCCTCCACTAGGCCCCATGGGGCCTGGGCCTATCCTGGCCGGTGCGTCTGGGTTTTGGAGCAGCTCCAGCAGGGCCGGGTTGGGAGACACGTCCTTCTTGTTCTCCACAGAAGGACGGAACATGGGCTTCTTGTTGCTGCGATGACGCGCCTCTGCGAGGATGCCTGTTCTGGAGGCAGGGACGGCGATACGCTGCTCACGGGACGACAATGAATCAGATGCAGGGGTCTGGGCAGTGGAGGGGGTCACCATGGCAGGGGTTGTCATAGAGACATAGGGGTTGAAGGTTAAGGGAGGAGGGGGTTGGGTCTGAGCAAGGGGGGGAGAGTAAGGTGTGGCAGAGGAAGGAGAAAAGGGTTGGTTGTAAGAAGAAGGAGAGAAGGGCTGGGCAGCCACATCAGAGGATGGATAGACTGGGGCATGAGGAGGAGGGGAGAAAGGTTGACTAGCAGGAGCAGAGAAGTGTTGAGTGGGGGCAGGAGGAGGAGGAGAGAAAGGTTGAGGAGCAGTCAAGGAGCAGAAGTGTTGGGTGGGTTGAGGAGGATAATGAGAATGAGAACAGGGGGCAGAAGAGGGAGAGAAGGTGACAGTATGGACAGAGGGAGAAGGGAAAGGTTGAGAGATAGTGCGGGTTGGAGAGGATGGAGGAGAGAGAACAAGAGGAGGAGAGAGGACAGAGGGAGGAGGAGACAGGATGGATGCAGCAGGTCTAGGGGGGATGTAGAGGGAGGTACTGGAGACTGCTCTCCTGGCCTCGGGCCCCCCTGAAGGGCGAGGGGGGGTGATGGTTACCATGGATACCGCAGCAGTGGGTTTGGAAACCATTGTTATGGCAGGAGTGGGCTGGACGGGACGGAAGTTGACAGGGGTGGCGGGGGGGCGAGATGGGGCAAGGCCTGAGGTGAAGGGGCGTGCTGTGCGGTTGTGGATCCCCCCAGGCAGGTTAGGGTTAAGATTTAGGTCAGGCTGGGGGGGGATAGGGGTGTGAGAGGGGGGAGTCAGAACCACACTGGCCCGACTCACCCCTGCTGAGCCCCCATTGGACAAACCTGTAGCCGGGGGGGTGTTAGGGGCAGAGTTATAGGTGACAGGGGCGGCCATTTTCCTTTGCTGCTCATATTGCTCCGTCTCTTTGCTCTGATAGGCTATGGAGTCCAGCCCTGGGCTCTGATAGGCTGGGGCATTCATCCCAGACCCCTGATTGAATGACATATTCATCTCTGGGCTCTGATAGGCCAAGGAATCCAACCCTGAGCTCTGATTGGTTGGTATTTGGGGCATTGAGTTATAGGTGGATGGGCAGGCAGAGCTCCTCCTATCCAGCATGTCCAGGTATCCGCTGTCCCAGGTGGGGTCAAAGGTTCCAGCGAAGCCCTCTTCATCCACCTCTGAACCCGAGGGGAAGGAACTCCCCTCCTCCTCCTCTCCCTCCGTCTCTCCACCGGTCTCAGGACCCATCTCCCCCTCCGCACGGCCGAAACAGGTGAGGGTGTACTTCTTGGCACGCTGGCGTCTCTTCTTGAACATGAGAACTCCTTTAGAGTTGGAGTTCGGAGCGTCGGTGAGCAGAGAAGCGATCGAACGACATTTAGTACGAGCCTCTTTCACCTGCCTATCTACCACATTATCTCCTCTCTGCAGCTCTGGTAGACAGGGGGAGGGATGGGAGGAGGGGGGAGGAGTGGGGGAGAGAGAAAGAGAGAACAGAGGATTTCATAAGTAACTGTAATGAATAAGAAAGGTCTGGTTAGAAACATAAAAGCCTGTTTGGGAGTGATTGACAGAATGACATCATAGCATCTGGAATGTCACTCAAATCCATGATGACACCATGATGGGTGACACCATCAGCCAGTGAGGGGTGGGCAGGGGTCAACCCTGACAGACAGGAGAGTGTGCTGGGGGCTCCAAGCTCTGAATTCCCCCTACTCCCCAGTTGAGCAGCGACCATTTAGACTGTCTGTCTCCATATCCGTGTCTGCATTTGGTGTATGAGATGGAGATATTTCTGCCGTTTTATAAATGAACTCAGCCCTCAGAAATAGCCTCACACAAATACTGCTAGCATGACTAACAGCCACACACACACACACACACACACACACACACACACACACACACACACACACACACACACACACACACCAGTGAAGGGATCAGAGGATTTGGTGAGGCGTCTATGAGGCTGGTGCATCTACTCAAACAGTGACAGGAATCACAGTCTAACTGAAACCTCATAATAATAATAATAATTATAATAATTATAATATTAATAATAATAATTATTATTATTATTATTAATATTATTATTATTATGCTTCTATCTGGAGAGAATGATCAGTTTCTAACCACAGATTAGATGACATCAGTCAACATCAGTAACTCAGAATAAATGTACAGGGCAGGAGAGACACACAGCTGCCCTGACAGGCAGAAACACAACAACAGAGTCGACCAGCAGCAACCAGCAATATTACCCAACCAGCAATATTACCCAACCAGCAATATTACCCACCATCATCAAACAGATTTAATTCCTCACTAAAAACACCCGGAACCATCAGCATAAAACTCAGTCTCCAGTCCAGTAACAGCATCCTACCACACCGTCAGCACCTCCAGTGTGTGTGTGTGTGTGTGTGTGTGTGTGTGTGTGTGTGTGTGTGTGTGTGTGTGTGTGTGTGTGTGTGTCTTACCTGCGTAGACAGTGTGAATAACAGGGTGTTCATCAGGGTCCGAACCCGTTGAAGATGTGAAGTTCCTCATGTCTCCAAGTGTGTGTTCTCTGAACCCTCACACACACATTCTCAGGCAGGTGGAAAGTGACCAGTTGTACTCTAGGTAGGATGGTAGCTCTGTCTCCTCTCTCTCCTCTCTCTCCTCTCTCTCCTCTCTTCCCCCCACTGTCCTCTTTTGTGTCACTCTCTCATTCTCTCTCTGTCTTTTTCTATCCCAAACCAACACATGATGTCATCCCCCTATTCATGTCTGTCTGACAGATATCCCACACTTGTCTGGGCTCACACACATGCGCATGTGCACGCTCACACACACACACACACACACACACAGACACACACACACAAACACACACTGTCCACTGGGTTCTCCCCTGTACTTCACCCACTCCGCAAAGATTTTCCACACAACAACCTTGTAAATGCTCCAGAGTTGGCTGTGTGTTTGTGTTGTTCTAGGTCATCAAGAACTGTTACTGACACCTCAAACCATGCAATCCCATAACACACACACCCCTTTCCTCTAATCCCCACCAGTGTATGTACTGTATGTGTGTGTGTGTGTGTGTGTGTGTGTGTGTGTGTGTGTGTGTGTGTGTGTGTGTGTGTGTGTGTGTGTGTGTGTGTGTGCGTGTGTGCGCGTGTGTGCGTGTAATGTGAGGAAGGGCAGTTCTACTGTCCCCTCAGTCAACAGTCTGTCACTATTGTCTCTCTGGCCAAGATGTAACCTTGCCTGAAACCTGAAGACTTGCATTAGCACCTCAAGCTTATGCCTAGGCTTTAGCTCAGCAGGCTAACATCGTGCCAGGGATTACCATCAGCTGTTATAGTTCAGAGTGAGATAGACAGGTGTGAGGAAAGTTACATAATTCATGAGTTCATAGATTCATGTAGTCAGATACGTATGTCTAGCTGCATGGGAAGAATGCCATTTTTGACATCGGGTATCTTTGAAACCTGATTTACAGATTGAAATGAATAGGGTATAATTGATCATGTATGCCGCTCCCTCCCCTCCCATCCGCCATTGCATATTCAGCTGTGTGGATCACTAAATGTGAGGTCAGTTGTGTCCGTGTGTCTGTCAAGGCCAGAGGGGAATGCTAGCTGTCCCACTATAAATACTCTGGATGAGACCAGGGCTTAGAATACTGACAGGAGAGACTAGGGGGGAGGGAACAGGAACAGGAGATGAAGGTTTTTATTCATGGGATAGAAAGCAGCTGGAAATATCCCCCTCTCTCACAGACACAGTACAGTGACTTGCGAAAGTATTCACCCCCCCTTGGCATTCTTCCTATTTTGTTGCCTTACAACCTGGAATTAAAATGGATTTTTGGGGGGGTTTATATCGTTTGATTTACACAACATGCCTACCACTTTGAAGATGCGAAATAAGACAACAAAACAGAAAACTTGAGCGTGCATAACTATTCACCCCCCAAAGTCAATACTTTCTAGAGCCAACTTTTGCAGCAATTACAGCTGCAATTCTCTTGGGGAATGTCTCTATAATCTTTGCAAAACTGCTCCAGCTCCTTCAAGTTGGATGGGTTCCGCTGGTGTACAGCAATCTTTAAGTCATACCACAGATTCTCAATTGGATTGTATTTAACGCCATCCATCGTTCCTTCAATTCTGACCAGTTTCCCAGTCCCTGCCGATGAAAACCATCCCCACAGCATGATGCTGCCACCACCATGCTTCACTGTGGGGATGGTGTTCTCGGGGTGATGAGAGGTGTTTGGGTTTGCGCCAGACATAGCATTTTCCTTGATGGCCAAAAAGCTCATTTTTAGTCCCATCTGACCAGAGTACCTTCTTCCATATGTTTGGAGAGTCTCCCACATGGCTTTTGGCGAACACCAAACGTGTTTGTTTATTTTCTTCTTTAAGCAATGGCTTTTTTTTCTGGCCACTCTTCCGTAAAGCCCAGCTCTGTGGAGTGTACGGCTTAAAGTGGTCCTATGGACAGATACTCCAATCTCCGCTGTGAAGCTTTGCAGCTCCTTCGGGGTTATCTTTGGTCTCTTTGTTGCCTCTCTGATTAATGCCCTCCTTGCCTGGTCCGTGAGTTTTGGTGGGCGGCCCTCTCTTGGCAGGTTTGTTGTGGTGCCATGTTCTTTCAATTTTTTAATAATGGATTTAATGGTGCTCCGTGGGATGTTCAAAGTGTCAGATATTTTTTATAACCCAACCCTGACCTGTACTTCTCCACAACTTTGTCCCTGACCTGTTTGGAAAGCTCCTTGGTCTTCATGGTGCCCCTTGCTTAGTGGTGTTGCAGACTCTGGGGCCTTTCAGAACAGGTGTATATACAGTGGGGGAAAAAGTATTTAGTCAGCCACCAATTGTGCAAGTTCTCCCACTTAAAAAGATGAGAGAGGCCTGTAATTTTCATCATAGGTACACGTCAACTATGACAGACAAAATGAGAAAGAAAATCCAGAAAATCATGTTGTAGGATTTTTTATGAATTTATTTGCAAATTATGGTGGAAAATAAGTATTTGGTCAATAACAAAAGTTTCTCAATACTTTGTTATATATATTTTTTGTTGGCAATGACACAGGTCAAACGTTTTCTGTAAGTCTTCACAAGGTTTTCACACACTGTTGCTGGTATTTTGGCCCATTCCTCCATGCAGATCTCCTCTAGAGCAGTGATGTTTTGGGGCTTTCGCTGGGCAACACAGACTTTCAACTCCCTCCAAAGATTTTCTATGGGGTTGAGATCTGGAGACTGGCTAGGCCACTCCAGGACCATGAAATGCTTCTTACGAAGCCACTCCTTCGTTGCCCAGGAGGTGTGTTTGGATCATTGTCATGCTGAAAGACCCAGCCACGTTTCATCTTCAATGCCCTTGCTGATGGAAGGAGGTTTTCACTCAAAATCTCACAATACATGGCCCCATTCATTCTTTCCTTTACACGGATCAGTCGTCCTGGTCCCTTTGCAGAAAAACAGCCCCAAAGCATGATGTTTCCACCCCCATGCTTCACAGTAGGTATGGTGTTCTTTGGATGCAACTCAGCATTCTTTGTCCTCCAAACACGACGAGTTGAGTTTTTACCAAAAAGTTCTATTTTGGTTTCATCTGACCATATGACATTCTCCCGATCCTCTTCTGGATCTAGCAAACTTCAGACGGGCCTGGACATGTACTGGCTTAAGCAGGGGGACACGTCTGGCACTGCAGGATTTGAGTCCCTGGCGGCGTAGTGTGTTACTGATGGTAGGCTTTGTTACTTTGGTCCCAGCTCTCTGCAGGTCATTCACTAGGTCCCCCCATGTGGTTCTGGGATTTTTGCTCACCGTTCTTGTGATCATTTGTGATCATTTCTTGTGATCAATTTGACCCCACGGGGTGAGATTTTGCGTGGAGCCCCAGATCGAGGGAGATTATCAGTGGTCTTGTATGTCTTCCATTTCGTAATAATTGCTCCCACAGTTGATTTCTTCAAACCAAGCTGCTTACCTATTGCAGATTCAGTCTTCCCAGCCTGGTGCAGGTCTACAATTTTGTTTCTGGTGTCCTTTGACAGCTCTTTGGTCTTGGCCATGGTGGAGTTTGGAGTGTGACTGTTTGAGGTTGTGGACAGGTGTCTTTTATACTGATAACAAGTTCAAACAGGTGCCATTAATACAGGTAACGAGTGGAGGACAGAGGAGCCTCTTAAAGAAGAAGTTACAGGTCTGTGAGAGCCAGAAATCTTGCTTGTTTGTAGGTGACCAAATACTTATTTTCCACCATAATTTGCAAATAAATTCATAAAAAATCCTACAATGTGATTTTCTGGAAAAAAAATTCTCAATTTGTCTGTCATAGTTGACGTGTACCTATGATGAAAATTACAGGCCTCTCTCATCTTTTTAAGTGGGAGAACTTGCACAATTGGTGGCTGACTAAATACTTTTTTTCCCACTGTATACTGAGATCATGTGACAGATCATGTGACACTTATATTGCACACAGGTAGACTTTATTTAACTAATTATGTGATTTCTGAAGGTAATTGGTTGCACCAGATCTTATTTAGGGGCTTCATAGCAAAGGGGTTGAATACATATGCACGCACCACTTTTCCGTTATTTATTTTGTATAATTTTTTTAAACAAGTTCTTTTTTTCATTTCACTTCACCAATTTGGACTATTTTGTGTATGTCCATTACATGAAATCCAAATAAAAATCCATTTAAATTACAGGTTGTAATGCAACAAAATAGGAAAAACGCCAAGGGGGATGAATACCTTTGCAAGCCACTCTATACTCCCACACACTCACAGACACTCACAGACACTCACAGATAATCCACAGGCTTAGCAGAGACAGTTCTAAGCAGCTGAAGAGTTCATGTGTAGGCTGTAGTGCGTATAGTGCACAGTGTGTACGGTATCTGGTATAGTGTACTCACTGGCTTGCCGGGCCTTTTCCTTGTAAGTAGTAGACAGTTCATCACTGAGTGGGGTCAGCTGGGCGCCCACCATGGGAACCATCTGTGGGCTGGAGCCCAGCATCATGGCTCCTTTAGCCCGCTCTGGAGACACCAGGGGTGAGCAGGCCATAACCAAACACCCCCCTGCCTCCTGGAACCCACTGTCTCCCTCTCCCTCCACCTCTCCTCCCCCCACCGGCTCCCCCTTTGCATGGTGTGGGACGGGCTGGGCTGGGTGGGTCCACTCTGGCCGGGCCTGGGGGGTTTTGGGTTGGTAGACTACCTCCCTGCGTGGAACTCCAGGTTGAAACCCCCCTGTTCTCGATCCTGTTGATTGCTCCCACTGTTGGATCCCCCCATTTCCCAGTGTGGGTAGTTGCTCCCAGGGACACTGCAGGGAAAGCCCTCCATCTGGAGCGCTTTCATACCTGGAGGGAGAGAGAGAGAGGGTTTGGGCAGGTCATGATGATGTCATAGTACAAACCAACAAGGTTGGGTATGATTCTGTTTTGTTCTTGTCTCGTACCCGCTTATCTCCGAAGTCTCCTCTTCCTCCTGCTGGTGACCGGGAGAGCGCGCATGTGGAGGTGTGTGTCGCTGGCGGCGGTGTATGTGTGTCTGTGTGTCCGCATCGCTGTCCGTCTCTCCGTAATAGGCCTCACTGTCAGGGGGGGAGGTGAGGGTGAAGCAGGACGGCCCTTCAGTAGGGAAGAGAACAGGGTGTGTGGCTGTGTGTGTACGACCCGACAGGACCACAGAGTGGAATCCAGACCTGGAGGCAGAAAGAGAAAGAGATAGTCAGGCTGTGTGTGTTTATGTATGCATCCGCATTGCTTATTCTACTGTATACTTGTATAGGTCTAGTGTATGTGGCAGTGTTTCCCCTAAATGCATTTCGCAGCGGCGCGGATGCATACATAAACTAAATCGTGGCCGCCACTGCTTAAAACTGCTTATCTCCGAAGTATCCTCCTCCTCCTGGAAATTTCCGGATGGTAAAACGTTTTCAGTGTAAACTAAAATGACTAAAACCAGATGTAAATGATGTAGAAATTGTAATGGAGCAACTAACAATCACTAAAAACTAGACAGTCAGGGAAAATCAAAAATTCTAAAAATGTCATGGCATTGGGCCTCCGTATATTTTTCTATAATGTTTGAGTCACTCAGATGGCATAAGAACAAGGCATAAGCCATGGCAAAATGTGTAGAATTGCAGGAAATGATCTTTAAAACTGAACATTTTCTCTCAGCCCCAGGGCAATGTGTAGAATTGCACTGGTGTGTATGTCTGTACAGTGCATTCGGAAAGTATTCAGACCCCTTGACTTTTTCCACATTTTGTTTATGTTACAACCTTATTTTAAAATGGATTTAAAAAAAGAAAATCTCATCAATACAATATCCCATAATGACAAAGCGAAAACAGGTTTCTGGAAATTTTTGCAAATGTATTAAAAATAAAAAACTTAAATACCTTGTAAGTATTCAGACCCTTTGCTATGATACTTGAAATTGAGCTCAGGTGCATCCTGTTTCCATTGATCATCCTTGAGATGTTTCTACAACTTGATTGGAGTCCACCTGTGGTGAATTCAATTGATTGGACATGATTTGGAAAGGCACACACCTGTCTATATAAGGTTCCATAGTTGACAGTGCATGTCAGAGCAAAAACCAAGCCATGAGGTCGAAGGAATTGTCTATAGAGCTCCGAGACAGGATTGTGTCGAGGCACAGATCTTGCGAATGGTACCAAAAAATATCGGCAGCATTGAAGGTTCCCAAGAACACAGCGGCCTCCATCGTTCTTAAATGGAAGAAGATTGGAATCACCAAGACTCTTCCTAGAGCTGGCCGCCCGGCCAAACTGATAAATAGGGGGAGAAGGGCCTTGGTCTGGGAGGTGACCAAGACCCCGATGGTCACTCTGACAGAGCTCCAGAGTTCCTCTGTGGAGATGGGAGAACCTTCCAGAAGGACAACCATCTCTGCAGCACTCCACCAATCAGGCCTTTATGGTAGAGTGGCCAGACGGAAGCCACTCCTCAGTAAAAGGCACATGACAGCCAGCTTAGAGTTTGCCAAAAGGCACCTAAAGGACTCTCAGACCATGAGAAACAAGATTCTCTGGTCTGATGAAACCAAGATTGAACTCTTTGGCCTGAATGCCAAGTGTCACGTCTTGAGGAAACCTGGCACCATCCCTACGGTGAAGCATGGTGGTGGCAGCATCATGCTGTGGGGATGTTTTTCAGCGGTAGGGACTGGGAGACTAGTCAGGATCGAGGGAAAGATGAACGGAGCAAAGTACAGAGAGTTCCTTGATGAAAACCTGCTCCAGAGTGCTCAGGACCTCAGACTGGGGCAAAGGTTCACCTTCCAACAGGACAATGACCCTAAGCACACAGCCAAGACAATGCAGGAGTGGCTTAGGGACAAGTCTCTGAATGTCCTTGAGTGGCTCAACCAGAGCCCGGACTTGAACCCGATCGAACATCTCTGGAGAGACCTGAAAATAGCTGTGCAGCAATGCTCCCCATCCAACCTGACAGAGCTTGAGAGGATCTGCAGAGAAGAATGGGAGAAACTCCCCAAATACAGGTGTGCCAAGCTTGTAGCGTCATAGACAAGAAGATTCAAGGCCGTAATTGCTGCCAAAGGTGCTTCAACAAAGTACTAAGTAAAGGATCTGAATACTTATGTAAATGTTGTTATTGGCTATTGTGTGTAGATTGATGAGAATTTGTTTTTATTTAATCAATTTTAGAATAAGGCTGTAACGTAACAAAATGTGGAAAAAGTCAAGGGGTCTGAATACTTTCCGAATGCACTGTATGCTCTGACCTTTTGACCCTGAGGTTGAGTGTATGTGTGTGCTCTGACCTCTTGACCCTGAGGTTGAGTGTATGTGTGTGCTCTGACCTCTTGACCCTGAGGTTGAGTGTGTGTCGATGGGAGTCGATGAGCATCATGGCCTGAGCGTGGTTGAGCTCTGCACAGACATGGTCGCCGATGGCAATCAATTCATCCTCCTCCCTCAGGTCGGCCCTGCACGCCTTACTGCGCCGTCGCACCTGCAACACACAACACACACATTAACATACACATACACACACACACACACACACACAGCCTCAATCCAGCAGCATGGAATCCCAGACCCCTTCAGACCTCTGAGGTGTGGGGAGCAGTGTCGTAGAGCCCCTCCACCACTAGGGGGAGACAAAAGCTGAATAACACATTGGAACATTTTAGTAATTCAGCAGACGCTCTTATCCAGAGCACCTTACAGTTAGTGCCTTCATCTTGAGATAGCTACGTGGGACAACCACATATCACAGTCAAAGTAAGTAAATGTTTCCTCAACAAAGAAGTTATCATCAAAGTCAGTGCTAGTAGGGAAAGACAAGTGCAAGTTTCTATTTATGTTATGAGGTCATCATCTCTCCAGGGCTATGGAGGGGAGGGGGGAATCTGAAGGGTGGTACAAATTAGGCAATGATTTCATGAGGTTATCCATCACTGAATAGGGTTGAGGGGTGGAAGCAAAGCCCTATACATACATGGATCTGTCAGAAAGCATGAGAGATAGATGGGATAGAGAGTGCGCGAGAAAGGGGTGGAAAGAAGGGGGGAGAGAGAAAGAGAGCGTGAGGGAAAGAAAGAAAGAAAGAAAGAAAGAAAGAAAGAAAGAAAGAAAGAAAGAAAGAAAGAAAGAAAGAAAGAAAGAAAGAAAGAAAGAAAGAAAGAAAGAAAGAAAGAAAGAAAGAAAGAAAGAAAGAAAGAAAGAAAGAAAGAAAGAAAGAAAGAAAGAAGATAGAGGCTCAGAATAAATTAGAGGAAAAACCAAAAGAAATTGAGAAAGTTCAAGTGTAATATATTATAAAAAATAAAGCAAACTGGATGGAATATGGGGAAAAATGAATCAAATTATTTTTCAACCTTCAACATAGGAATGCTACCAAAAAGAATTTACTGAAACTGGTTACAAATGATGGAGTCACCCATGATTCACCAAAATATATTTTGAAGGAGGAAACAAAGTACTTTAAGCATATGTTTTCGTTTCAGTCGCCTCCATCTCCTCTAACTGAAGCTAATTGTAGAGATTTTTTTTCTATTGATAATGTAAAATTAACAGCCATACAGAAAGACTAATGTGAAGGTGAAATTACAGAGGAGGAACTTCTGGATGCAATTAAAGACTTTAAGTTCGTGAAAACTCCAGGGTTGGATGGCATACCTGTCGAGGTATACCAAACCTTTTTTGATATACTCAGAGGACCGATATTAGCATGTTTTAACCACTCCTATGCAAATGGTAGATTATCAGACACTCAAGAAAAAGGTCTGATTTCATTATTACTGAAACAGGATACAAGTGGAAAATATAAAGATCCAGTCCATTTAAAAAATTGGAGGCCCCTTACACTTCAGTGTTGTGATGCAAAAATTCTAGCAAAATGTATAGCGCATAGAATTAAAAAGGTATTGTCTGACATTATTCATTCTAATCAGACAGGTTTTTTACATGGACGATACATTGGAGATAATATAAGGCAAGTACTGGAAACAGAACACTATGAAAAATCTGGGAAACCAGGCCTGCTATTCATAGCAGACTCCGAAAAGGCATTTGATAAAGTACGACTGGGGTTTATATATAAATGCCTGTAGCATTTCAATTTTGGAGAATCTCTTATAAATTGGGTTAAAATCATGTATAGTAACCCTAGGTGTAAAATTGTAAATAATGGCTATATCTCAGAAAGTTTTAAACTGTCAAGAGGAGTGAAACAATGTTGTCCACTATCGGCATATCTATTTAGAAACGACAGAACAAATAATGCAACAAATATTGTGGTTAAACTCAAAATTACTAATTGATAAAAAAACATTTTTTTTGACAAAATGTTTAAAAAAGGTATAATCTTCGTAAATGATATCATCGGTAGGACTGGTGGAGTTATGTCGCACATGCAGCTAACAAAAACTTATGGAAATGTCTACTCTACCCAAAATTACAACCAGATAATTGCAGCATTACCGCAAAAATGGAAGAGGAAAGTGGAAGGGGGAAAAAGTAAGGAACTTGTCTGTCAGCCTTGCATTAAATAACATAATTGGTTAAAGAAAACTGTGATAAATAAAAAAGTGTACCAGTTTCATTGAAGGACCAAAGGATTGACAGCCGTCCCATATAGATTGCAAAATAGTTAGGACGAGATTTTTGACAAACCGATTCCATGGCATAGTGTTTATGAACTGATACACAAAACGACACCGGATTCAAAACTTAGCATTTTTCAATTAAAATTACTAAATAAAATTATTGCTACCAATAGAATGTTATTTATGTGGGGGATACAATCTTCCCAGCTCTGCAAATTTTGCTGCGAGAGACAGAATCATTAGATCATTTGTTTTGGTACTGTCCATTTGTAGCTTGTTTTTGGACACAGGTCCAGGAATGGCTAAAGGATTGCAATATTTGCCTGGAGCTAACCCTGCCGATAGCATTACTGGGTGATCTGAAAAGTCATAGTCAATCGATCAATAATATAATAATACTTTTAGCAAAAATGTTTATTTTCAATTTACAATCTGTAGAAACAACGAGAATAGAAAGGTTCAGAACTTTTGTAAAACATCACAGTACAGTTGAAAAATATATGGCAAATAGAAATCCAATATGGATGGTGTTAAGAGATAGATGGGAGGTGTTGAATGGAATTGAAGGATGGGACTAATAACAACAACTAATAACAACAAGATAACTAATAATGTAAGCATACTGTGTCCATAATAAGTATATAGGTTATAGGTTGAGAGCTTTTGTGAAAGAGCACAGTTAGAAAGATATGGCATATAGAAGCAAACCGGATGGACATCATGAAAATGATCAGAGAGGTTGAGGGTAGAGGAAGTTCAGGAGTAAAAACAAACAAAATATAATTATTGTAAAATTGACTCTGTCCATAAAATGTATGTAGTATGTATAAGCTGGAAGTAGAGGCTTGGAAAGTAAAAAAGGTAAATATGTATATGTGTATATATATATATATATATATATATATATTATATATTATAGATAGATATATATAGTTATGTATGTATGTATGTGTATATATATATATAGTATATTATATATATATATATATTTGCGAGAGAAAAAAATACATATGGGGGATTGGAAGTGACGCAGACAATTACATTGACGGAAGTTACAATCTATCTGCAATATTAAAGCTGATCTACCCCCTAAAAAATTTAAATAAAATAAAAAGAAGAAAGAAAGAAAGAAAGAAGAAAGAAAGAAAGAAAGAAAGAAAGAAAGAAAGAAAGAAAGAAAGAAAGAAAGAAAGAAAGAAAGAAAGAAAGGAAAGAAAGCAAGAAGAAAGAAAAGAAAGAAAGAAAGAGAAAGAAAGAAAGAAAGAAAGAAAGAAAGAAAGAAAGAAAAGAAGAACAGGGGACAGATGACATGTAGCAGAGTCATTTCATGCTGAACAGCAGAATATCTCAAATATAAGACTCTCAAACCAACCACAAACAAACACAGTTTGTTCTTCAAATGTAGGTCCCCTGTCTGGTGCCTCACAGAACATCCATTAAGCCACCCTTACCCCAATGGCACACACACACACGCCCAGCCACTGTGGGAAAACGCAGTGAGAGGAGGGGTATTAGACAGCTGCACCCCCCCATACACACATTGGGCAGAGGGCATGCCTCACATTCACCATGTGTTGCCCATACACCCCAAAATAAACCCCAGCAGGAGAACCAGCCACATTCCTAGATGGACCCACAGTCAGAGCAGATAACCAGGAGTGTATTCTTTTACAGACTTTATAGGGTGAGTAATATGTACCTGTTAGGCCAAATTAGCCTGGTTAGCATTAGAGTTTACGTTACTTGCCGCCTTTCACCTCTACAGGTCAACGTCAGAGACTGTGTGTGAGTATGTGGAGGGCCTCAGATAAGCCCAGCTGGGAGTAGAGAGGTCCACAGGATCAGAATAGCTAATTTAAGAGGAGCTGGAGCAGGCCATGGAAGAAAGGCTTCTTTCTCACACACACACACACACACACACACACACACACACACACATGGTCTTGTACAACTAACCTTGTGGGGACACACAATTCAGTCCCATTCAAAATCCTATTTTCCCTAACCCCTAACCCTAAACCTAACCCTAACCTGTACCCTAACCCTAACATTAACCCTAACCTTAACCCGAAAACCTAACCTTAACTCTAACCCTAAACCCAACCCTAGCTCCTAATTCT